TGATTCATTTATCAAACCAAAGTTGCAAAATTCGATTTGAGCCAAAGGATGCGTTGAGGTACTTATCTTACATGAACTTGATATAAAATACTAGTAATAAATTAATGTATACTACGAATATAAAATCATGTAGTACTTTTAAAATGAAATAGTCACTACCTTTGGAGCCCAATTTTGAAATGAAACCACGATCTTAATAGTAGCAATTCGAGCCCAATTTGAATCTAACAAACTGTGTGAGTCTGAGAGCACACATGAAACTCGCATATATGAGTCGTATTTAAAGTTGGATATTCATTCTCAGGTAAAGTAGTTTTTAGGTCAATAATTTTGAAGCTAAGTGATAGCTCACTGGAATATATACAATTAATTAATGGTATTTAGAAAGAAGAGAGAGCTAAGTATGGAAAGAAAGTTATATGATGTATTAATGATCATCCAATCGTTAACATCTATTCAAGGAGTATTTAAATGCATCTATATGTGTAAGCTAGTTTGTAGGCAAATATCGTGTTGTGCAAGAGTACGTGTCACGTGGCTTCACTAACCATCTGTTGAGTGTTGGACGACGTGACCTAGGATGAGGTGCTTGGAGGCCGAGGGGCCTGTACGGGCCGATCGATGTCTGCCTGACATATGATGTGTCTGTGGTCTAGTTTCGTTGTTTCTAGTTACTTCGTTTTCATGGACCATCGCCTCACAAAGAGGCCAGGTTGAGGGAGACTGTCTGATTTCTCTACTTGAATTGTTTTCATATCTATGAGTATGTGTGCATGGTGTTAGCATGAGCCCATATACTCTATCACTAAGTTTCTATAGCAAAATGCTAATATATTATTAATGCGCATCATTTTTTTAGTTTTCTTTACCCTGGGGGTCTGGGGGAGTTGACTACCTAGTCTAGGATATACATTAATGAAATTGCCTCCATGAAATTCCCATAAGGAAGAGCAAGTCGCCAATCAGTTGAATTGGTCGCTTGTTCAACACTAATAAATTGAGTAGGTCACTTCCTCAACACTAATAAATTATAGCTGTATAGGATATTGGCAGTTTGATACATAGGATGAATTGTAAATTTAATGGTCCATGGTACGATTTTTAATTCTAAATTTTATTCTTGCCGAATCAAGCATTTGCCGAATAATTCGAATCAAATTCGAAACATATTTTTCGCACTCATATATTGAACGCTCAATTTCCATCATTTTTAATGAAGTCATATTTGTCAGGTTTTCACCGCTTCCGCTCAAACCGCACTCAAACAGCTCACACCAAGCACCACCAGGGAACGGGATGATCACACTCAGACCAGCCTAGCCATCTCAACGCACACCACAGAGAAAGAGAATAAGCACAAAGAGATCGAGTAAACATGAAAGAATCAAAGGAGAAGAGAGCATTGTTTGAACGGTCTCTCTCTCTAAACTTGCTCTTTATCTAAACCGAAGACCTCAAGTCCCAAATAAGACAAAAGACGCTTAAGTACGAGGGTCAAGGGGGAACCCTAAAAGAGTGTACGTTCTATAACAAGGGCTAGCGATAAGCCGATAACAACATGGGCCGGGGCTAAGGACGCAGCAAACGGGCCCAACACAAGGGAAGTGGGCTGCCTAAGCCTAAATGGGCCACTACCTCCACAATATTTAACTTTTTGTTGGGGAATATGATGATATAAAGCAAAATAAATATTAAACTAAACTGTGTTTCTTTGTTATGAAACAGAAGTCAGTCCATACAATTTTCGACGCCTTATGAGTCCATACAATTTTCTTTGATCTCGATCTGAATTGAATATATAACCTCGTAAAGTACGGAGATCAAATGTATTTGTGCACTGGCCACTATTATCAATCGAGCTGGAGCTTGAGATAGGATGTCCGGTTTGTGCTGAGTTGGTTCATACTAAAGATGTTTTTTTCGACTGTTTTCAGTCCCAGACCAGACTTAAACAGATCAGCCCAGACCAGACCTGACTTTCATAGTTACAAAATACATAGAGACCAGACGTTTACCAGACTTAAATAGATCAGATCAGATCAAACCAGGAAATTTCAATCTAAAAGAGTTTTCTTGTCTTGAATGAATGTTGTAATGAGCTGTCGATCGAGTGGGGCATGGAAGCAAACCAAAAGAAAGAAAGCTAAGTAATTAGCATATATCCATCCACCTATTGCCTATTCGCGTTACGTGTTTTTCCGGTTCTCCCTCCATATTGTTAATCCATCCCCCAAAACAACAACCTTAATAATAAATGGCTCATAAAGTAAGAGTTTAATCTGTTGTGGGATTCCTACAAATGTACGGAGCAATAGCAATTATTCTATGGTTTAAATGTGACAAAAATAGCAAAATAGTAAGACTTTGCAATCAATCAATACAGGTAACAACAAAGCTCTATTTTGTATACTTTTTTGTCACCGAAAAAAGAGGGCACCATTTCAACATTGTAGCTACGGAGTACTTTTATTATACGGAGTATTTATTATTCATTGCTTCCAATGAATTTTTTCAATACATTTAAGTTTGTTAAATTAATTGATTATAGTTACCATAAATAAGTAATTAAACAAAAAGTATAAGAGCATCTCCAATACTATAATGTTCACGGTGCACATGTGGCATGAGTGATACCCACATAAATATTAGCATATAAATTATCTCCCTCCTTATTTGAATGATTTTATACAATTTTGGTAAGTTTTTCCTTGCAATGTCAACAACAATGTCAACATCTAGACGGTCTCCTTGACATTGTGGAGAAAAACTTACCAAAACTGTATAAAATCATTCAAATAAGGAGAGAAAAAATTTGTTTACTAATATTTATGTGGTCATTTCTCATGCCACGTGTGCACCGTGCACATTTTACCATTGGAGATGCTCTAAGTTCCTTCAAAGAAAAGTATAAGTAGAATTGCATGGCAACAACTTTTAATACGATTGGTTTGGGGTGCATATTTCATATTTGGGTGATTGGAGTCGATCATTCTGCTTTTACTTCTTTTTTAAAAAGTAAAAGTATATCATATTTAATTTTTTATAAATTGTCCTCCAACTTTTGAAGAATTGTATTAAAAGCAAATCAGAGCACTTGGAAGTACATCTATAATTTCATTCAGACACTTCAACATCTATTTCTACTCTCTGAAGGAGTAAAAGCAAATCTTGAAGTTTTATAATACAAAAAAAATATCCAGACACCTCTTATATATCCAACTTAGATCAGGGCCACATTTTACTAATGGTAGATTCATGAGAAGTTTGAATTTACGTTAATTCAAAAGTGAATAAGTTAATACGGAGTAATGAGTTGAGCTCAATAATAGGAAAAATGAAAAAAGTTTTTTTAGGGATGAAAAATGAAAAGGATTTGATCACTAAAACGTTAAAGAGAAGATGAAATGCCTCAAAACTCTAGTGAAGATCGGCCCTGCATTTTACAACTCTAGTTTTGTATCCAATTAATTAGAAAAATATATCATGCCCGATCCTATCAGAATTCATATTCAGATGTAAAGTCTCAAATTTTGATATATTTTTTATGTGAACTCATGCGTTTAATTCGATTATTTCAAAATTAGAGTCAAATAGCAGAATTATGACAACCTTTTCAAATAGCAAAAATTGCAACATGTGTATCCATGTATAATTTGTATGTTGGGCTTAAATAACGAAATACCTTATTGAATCATGACACAAAGAAAACACGTGTTTTTGTTAATATGCTCAATATAGTCCTGATTCCATAGGGTGTTTGGGAAATGGTGTTTTCAATATGCTCAATATACAATGGGAAATGGTGTTTTCAATATGCTCAATATACAATTTAATTCTTTTAGCGTAATAGTGAAAACGTCATTTGATAAATAGTTGTTCGTCCTGAGCATTTTGCGCGGAATAAATAAGTTATACTCTATTGCTCCAATGCTCCTCCCTCTTCCCTCTGTTCTCAAACATTATTCCCTCTCAACGCTTGGCATTTGTAGAGCTTGTTTGTAAAGGCAGAAAACGCCAAAAATATGCTCAAATTGTTGAGATTGTGTTTAAACTATCCTTAATCTTACCCACACAAACACAAAATTAACAATAAAATAAGGGAAAATTAATTAAAATACCCCAAACTTTGAACAAGTTTGAGATAAACATCTTAAACTTTCATATGTAATTTAAATACCCCAAACTTCATATAAAAGTTATTTTAGCACCATGGTCATATATTATTATTTTTTTCAAAAATGTAATTTATGATGTTAATTGCATAATTTAAAATAGCAAATTAAATTAAAAATGATGCAATTATATAGAGTGGGGTAGTATTATTTATTTTATAATGGAAGTTTAGAATATCTATTGTATCTTCATGAATGCTAAAATATTTTAATTTATGAAGTTAACAACAAAAACTAGCATTTTTTAAAGAAATGATATATGACCATGATACTAAAATAACTTTTTATATAAAAATTGGATTATTTAAATTATATATACAAATTTGGGATGCTTACATCACACCTCTTCAAAATTTGGGGTATTTTAATTATTTTCTCATAAAATAATGATACAATGAATGAATATATGATATAAAAAGATATCAAAACGGCTATAAAATTATCATGTATTTAGGTTTGTGTTGATTGAAATGCCTTGTTTTTTTTTTTAAAACGATGTCAATCGCATGGTGATTAGCATAGTGCAGAAAAGGTACTAATAATAATGATTAAGACAGAAAGTGTGCAAATAATCCCAACAAACAGCTCGCCGGCTTCTCGTCCCGTCTCCGCCAACTTCGCAATCGTGCTCCATAAGGAACCTAATTAAGCGGGTCTTCTCTCTTTCTGCCCTCCCCCTCCCGCTTAAATTACCCCATCGTCCCAAATCACGAGGGTATCCTCGGAAATTCACGGAAAGACAGTTGTGGTGAATTAGTGCAGGAAGGAAGTGGGGCGCTGACGTGGCGGAGAGCCCTGCTTTCTCTCTCGTCTTTCTCTCCCTCCCACTCGCGCCTCTTTCTCTCTCTCCCCCCTCTTCACAAAGATTCTCTGTTGAAATTTCCATTCCGCTTCTCTCTCGCTTTCTTCTCTCCATAAATATACGGTGCTCAGCTGCGGCGATCGGACACATTCCATTGCCGCTTCTCCGCCAGCTAGCTAGAGCTCCATAACTCCATTCATTCACTTCATCTCTCACTCTGTCTCTGTTTCAAATTTCTTCCACAAGTTGATTGAAGCTTTTCGATCACAGCTCAAACTCGCGGTTTCTTCTTCGTCGATTCCTACCGGTTTGTATTATAAGGTTCCTTTCTTTTCTTTCATGGAGAGGTCTCAAAGTGGATTGATCCTTTTCGTTGCTAGGCTGCATTTTCCTATCGCGCAATTCTAGTATCTCTGTAACAGTGTAACTCTGAGTATTAATTCCTTCCCTTGTGTAAAATATTATTGTGCATTAGGTTATCCCAGAAAGTAACACAAAATGTTAGACGCCTGGCTGAAGGGAAAGTTCTATTCTAAATGGTAAGAATGGCTGAGAATAAACGCCATTATGGGGAATTTTCTGTTTTTTTAGTTTGATTTGTATGGATTTAATTTGATGTTTGTGTGGTTTGTTATTATTGTAGCAAGACGGGAATCAGGATGACCAAGACTCGGGTAGATTTGATACGGAAAAAGAGGAATGCAATGCAGAAGTATTTCAACAATGATATTGCCGATCTTCTCATGAAGGGCTTAGATGTGAATGCATATGGAAGGGTATGCTTTTCCGGTCTTGCTTTCGTTTGAATCTGTTCTGTTTCGTTTCCTCTTTCCATTGAAATTTGCAATCTGATGATACTGCATGTTTTAAATTTGCTTTTCTTCTTTTATTGTGGTTATTTCTTTCAATTTTTATCTTTTCATTAAGTTGATAGCTCCATATATATATAGCATCTGGGGATCTGTTTTTTATTTTTATTTTATAAAGGACTGGATTTAATTAGCATCTAATTACATCTGTGTATGATACTATTGAAACAGGCTGAAGGACTTCTGGTTGAACTCAATCTATCAAGGTGTTATGATTTATTGGAGCAGTATTGTCAGCAGATCTCTGGCAATCTTTCAGTCATGAATAAAGAGGGGTATATAAAATGTTTCGTTATGAGTAGCTGTTATGACCAATCGTCTTATATACACATGTGTGCTTTCTATCATATCTTTAGGCATATTTGGAAACAATGTCATTCATTTTATACCTCTGTTGCTAAGCAATTCATTGCCAATTTTGTACCGATCCGTTTCAAGAGGTTTTAAGTTTTACAGCTGGATTGTTGGTTAATGCTAAATTTAGCTGAAACTACTTAACCTGCTGTATTTGCTAAATTTGTGGCAAAAATGGTTAATTGATTGATCTCTCTGAATTATACAAAAAGCACCGCTATATATTTTCGTTATAATATGTTGAAGCAAATAATAATGTATGTGTGTATGAATATAAACATAAATTTTCAGAGAGTGCCCTGAAGATTGCAAGGAAGCTGTATCAACTTTGATGTTTGCAGCAGCAAGGTTTGCTGACTTGCCAGAATTGCGTGATCTCAGAACCATATTCACTGATAGATATGGGAAATCCATTGATTTTTTCGTCAATAAAGAGGTAGTTTTAATTCAACATTAATCAATCTATTTTACTGTTAAAGAATTAATGACATGAGCCTCTATATATAAATGTTTTCTTTTTGGGTATTTAGTTTGTTGAAAAGCTGAAGGGAGAGATACCATGCAAGGACATGAAGCTTCAGTTACTTCAAGACATAGCATCAGAGTGGGACATAGAATGGAACTCAAAGGCTTTGGAACAAAAGCTATACACACCGCCACCAGCAACTTATGATGTAAAATTGGAGAAAAGGGAAGATGATGAATCAAACAAATACAATACACAGACTTCTCTTTCAGCTAATGATAGGAATAAAGAAAACGAATCTGCTCATTTGAAGGTTCCCTTTCATTACAAGTCAGTCCCTCCTCCATACACTAAACCACATGAACCTAAAAAGAATGGCACTTTGGATAATGCTGAAAATGATAGGGTTGACAAAGAGGAGAGAGTGAAGCCCAAATCAGTTAGAAAGGTAAGAGAGGCAGCGAATGGTGACCATGAAGAGAAAAAGCTGGACAAATTGCTGGAGCATTACAGCAAGAAGAAGGGTGCTTCAGATAAACAAGATGAAGAATGTGGGTGCAGCAAAGTGTTGCCAAAGCGAAGATCGATAGATTTTGGTTCGAGTGCTGGAGGTGAAACTACACCAAAAGGTGGTCATCTTAGAGCAGCTTCATATAATATTGACACTTGTTGGAATCCAAATGCACACATCCATCCAAAGCTACCGGATTATGATGATCTTATAGCTAGGTTGGCAGCAGCAAGATCAGACCAAATATGATGAAATAAAGATGATGCATGGGTAGATGGAAATGTACCATATAATTCATGGGTCATGATCAGTGTAGTAATTCATTGATTGAATGTACACAAATATACATTTACATGTTCTAGTCTTCTAGATCTGATCTGTACAAATCAAAGGGCCATCGTTCCTAACTTCCTATTCCTTACCTTGCCTTTCACTTACATCCGTATATGCAACTCAATCCCATCGGTCCAACTTTATAAAAAGCAGAAGACAAAAAAATTAAGAAAAAAAACAGAGTTAAACATCCATGTCAACATGTGACCAGGTATAGAGAAGGGTTTGTCTGGTTAGTTGGCCCAAGCAACTCTTTTTTAAGAGTAAATGTGTTTAAGTTTTTTTTGCCATCAAAAAGGCTTCAATGGCGGGTTTTAAATAATAAAAGAACTTATTTAGCCCATTAACCCATTTTAGAAAAGTTTCAGCCTCAACTTGCCACCCACATATCACAACACCTCAACTACAAAAATACTTAATGAGCCAAATCAAGACATTTTCATAGTCACCTCACCGGTTGAGATCATACTGAAGACTTGAACCAAAGGAAAAAGTAATGAGTTTATGGGGACAAACAAAAGATAGATTAAGTTATAATAGGCTTAAATTAGTTAAAAATAATTATAATAATTATTTACAAAAGAAATGTACTCCATAATAATAACAGCCCACGATAACAAAATAAGCCATCGGTTGATTTGCTGTAGTTTATAAAAAGAAAGTAAGTTGAAGTCTATAAAACAGAAAAAAATGACACACTCCTTTTTTCATAGGATGGATGGTCTCATACAAAAGTGGTGCTGACCAAGTGAGCCTTCAAAAAGAAAAAAACATACAACAAACAGGAGAATGTTTCAACAGTTTGGCACACTAATGATTACATGAAAATGTATTATTATCCACCAAACATCAAAAAGGGGGAAAGGCAAGACATTAATCTCACCTTGTCTGCAAAACTGTGTCCCAATGCACTCCCAAAAAATAATTGTATATGTTTGGCCAGTAAGGCAATAATAAATAGCATAATATTCTAAGCAGCAAGTGGTTATTTCTGAGCAAACTTGATCCCCTTTTCGATACTGGCCTTCAACTCAGGCTTTAGGGCTTCCAAGGCCTTCTCCTCATACTCCGTCAGTCCTTGAAGATCAGACGGGACCAATGCCTCAACACCATCCTTTCCCAATTTGACCCTTGATGCAAAAAATGGAAGCTCTGTGAGATCAGACTGCACAAAAGCACACTCGTACACATCACTATCCCCGTCAAGAGCACGCAGCGAAGATTCCACGAACCTTGCAGCAGCGTAGGCCATAGAAAGTGTGGCGGACCCTGCCCCTGCCTTTGCCTCGACAACTTCTGTCCCCGCGTTCTGGATCCTCACAGTCAACTCACCAACCTCCTCGTCAGAAAATGAAGCGGACGGCTTTGTTTTCGACAAGAGGGGCAAAATTGTAATCCCAGCGTGACCCCCGATGACCGGGACATCAACATCAATGAGCCTGAGGTTTTTCTTTTGAGCGACAAAAGTGTTTGCCCTTACAACATCAAGAGTTGTGACACCAAACAGCTTCTTGGGATTATAAACCCCCTTTTGCTTCAGAACCTCTGCTGCGATCGGGACTGTCGAGTTGACTGGGTTGCTGATGATGTGGATGAAGGCGCCAGGGCAGTGATCAGCTACAGCCTCGACCAACGTCTTCACAATGTTTGCATTTATGTTGAACAGGTCATCACGTGTCATCCCCGGCTTCCTCGGAACACCAGCGGGTATGACGACCACGTCAACGTCTTTGAGACAGTTTCCTAATTCAGATGGTCCCGTGAAATCCGACACACGTGAAGGAGTGTTGCAGTGGCTGATGTCTGCCGCCACCCCTTTGACGTTTGCTATGTCATAAAGGTGTAAATCTGAGACTAGTGGAGACATCTTGACAAGAAGGGCTAGTGGTTGACCTATGCCGCCTGCTGCCCCGAGAATGGCCACTCGGTATGATGCCTGGGGCTGTTGAACGGAGATTCTCCTTTCTGTTTGGGCCTTCGCAGTGAAGGAGGGTTTGCGTAGAAGAGCTGTGATGCTTTCACTCCCAAAAAATGATGATGATGACTCACAGCTTATTGTAGATGACGAGTCTGCTGCCTTGAGTCCAACAAAACTCCTAAAACAGACCTTAGTAGAGTTCAGCTTCAGATTTAGGGCTTTAGATTGTGAGACTAGACCATTCTTGGGCCTAATAGATGTGGTTAAACCAAATGATAGAGTGGTAGATGATGTTACTGCCATTTTTCACCCTGCAAAAAGACAAATTGATTTCAAATTTTTGAATGGGTATTAGTCTTTTGTTGTTTTTGATGAATTCTACAGGTAATTACTTACTACAACATTAGTTGAACTTGATTTATGGTTCACTTCACTTCACTGTTCACAATAACATAATTCTCTTTTTTGAAATTTATCCCTACCCAAAGAATGAAGGTGAGAGAACAGGTAGTACTCTCATTCTATAAATAGGACTAAAATTGTTTACTTTTTTTGCCAACGATGCCTTTCTGCATAAACGTTTCTTCTGCCTAAGCAATCCGGAGTAATATATATCTTAGGAGAAAAGAAGATATATTATAATATAAAAAATAAAAAACACATATTTTAATGTGACATAAATAGATAGTCCTGATAACAAAAAGGATACTGGAAAGTAAGCAAATTAAAAAACAGTATTAGTCAGTACTAAACATTACTTCGTAATATACTAAAAAGAAATTGCTCCAAATAGAAGTAAAACATAGGTCAACTTCTAAAATAGGACTAAATATGTTTTCTTCCCTAAATAGAAATCATTTAGTCTTATTAGAAGAATTAAAAAAACTTACCTAAATATGCATGGGTCCTATTTTGAGAAGAAAACAATGATAATCCTATTTGAAAAGGTTTGTTATATTTTACTCCTGGGAATTTTAGAAAAACAGATGACTATCTCAAACATCAAAAGAATATCTGTACTGTTTCATAAACATCTTCGAAAAGGTAGTCCTGCTAAAAGATCAGATCTAAACTTTTTTGCCAGGATCTAGAAAATGGAGAGTATATTCATAAATAAAGCAAGACTTAATTATAGTTTGACAATATTTCATAGTTTGGAGATTCAATCAGCAAAAAAAGCATAAATCGCGACTGGGAAACAAAACACTTCATAGAATAACCACGAATAACCACATATGCTCATATTAACCCAATAATTTATACATTTTTTTTATATTTACGGGTTTTGGCTAAATAGTCATTCCAATCCTCCTTCAGCATAAAGAAATGGATAAAAAGGCCTTCTAAAATTCGGCATAAGCAGAAGGGCTTCCCCTTTAATTCTTCTCTTTAGACAAGCGAAAGCAGCAAGGGAAAGCATAAAAAGGGACTGTTAAACCCAAGCTTGAAATGTATCAGGCTGTAAAGGGAAGACAACTACCAATAAATTACAAACCTGAGGATGTGTATGTATGACCCAACAATATGCGCACAGTAATGAGAGAAAGCGGGAGTAGTCAGACGAAGTGGAGAACAGCAGAAGGCTGTCAGCGGACGGAGATCCGATCTGGAGAACGGAGATGCGGAAGGCTTCGCCGAAGGCTCCTGTCTTGATGCGGAAGAACGGAGATCCGATTAGGAGTGACGCAGGTGAAAGTTTCAAAGCGTACTCCCTTTGCGGAAATAAATCATAGAAATGGAGAAATGTTTGGGCTCCAATATAAATCTAACAATGTTTAATTTGGAAACAAGCCCAACACTGTTGAAAATCAATAAATAATCTAACAATAAGGGTTCTTGAGTAAGGATGGCAATGGGGGCGGGGACCCGTGGGGAACCCGCCCTACCGGAGAAGGATGGGATGGGGCTTGGGGCGGGGCGGGAATGAGTGTAATATTTTTACCTCGTTAAAATATGGGGCGGGGGACGTGAATTGCTACACCCGCCTCGTCCCCGCCCCATCCCGCCCGTTATAAATATATATATTCTAATACACACACACATATAAATAATGTACAAACATATTAAATTAAATTATACTATGTGTGTAATATGTAACAAACACATATACATATAAATATACAAATACATATACATATAGACATACATAATTGGATACGCGCGTTGTAGTGTTATGGTTAATGAATTAATACATACTCCATATTATATTAGAATAATAAGTATTGATTAAAAATATTTATCATAAATGTTATATGGGTTCTAAGAGTGAGAAAGTGAGTAAATAAATATACACACACATTTATATGTAGTATGTAATTAATTGTATTATAATTGTTGAGAATTTTGGAACGACGTACATGATGATAATATGTTACTTATATTTTTACTTTTACAGTCTTCAATTTACAGAACTTATTCAAATTGAAGAATTATTCAAATTGGCGATATATACTACGTATTAACTTTTAACAAACACCATACTTGAGTTTGCATGTGTGTGTAGATTTAAGATCAAATGCAACCGATGCTTAACTTGATAACGGGAGAACACCACATTTACTCCAATGTGATGCACAATGAGGCTCGCACGATGCATTTTTTCGTATTAAGCATAATATTTACAACAGTACCATCGTCACACCGTGATTATTTATATTAGCTTGTATTGAGCAAAAAGTCCAAATGTGTACTAGATGGGCTCTATTGTGTATCATATTGCATTAAATGTGACTGTTCTCACGTTAAGTATCGTTCTCCTTGAAACCGCACCCTATATATAATGGATTAATAATATATACAAATACGATAAATTAAATGTAAATGGGGGCACCCACGGGCACACGTGGGGGACAGCGGGGTGCGGCGGGGATGGGGCGGGGATGGAAGTAACGGGGGGTGGGGTGGGGATGGAGGGAACTTTTTAAACATGGGGCGGGGGATGGGGGAGTATACCCCAAACCCGCCCCATTGTCATCCCTATTCTTGAGTATAATTGTTCTTAAAATAATTATGATTAAATAAAATGTTGATAAAAATATCACATTTAAATATAGTGATTATAGTACTCCGTAATTAATAATTTATTTTCAATTTTTATGTTTAAATAATCATGATGTTTTGTTCATTCCCATAACATTCAATCACACATTTAATTTGTAAATAAGTTTTACAGTAGTAAATAATTTATTTTCAAATATATATATATATATACTTACTTTTATTTTGAGAGAAAATGGTGCTCATATTTTAAAATTTTACTTTTACTCATATTTAGAGATAATATGTGCTGAAATGTGCATTTGGTGAAACTGAATGTGCAGAACAAAAGGTAAAATTCAAATGTGCATAACGTGAAATTGATATGTGCAGAATAAAAAGGACCAAAAATGTCATCGCACTGTAGCTTTTATTCTGCATATTTCAGGTTCACATAATGCACATTTAAGTTTCACCTAATGCATAATTCAACTTCACATAATGTCATTGTGTGGTACTCTTGCACTGCACATTTCAATTTCACATTATGCAAATTTTAGTTTCGCTTAATGCACATTAAATTTCATAGAATACAATCTAACGGTCCAGATTCATTCTCATTTATCTTGTAAAATCATTTTTTCATTTGAACCTAGTTTTTTTAACCTAAATTATATACGGAGTACACACACAATGCATTTTATTTAAAAAAAAAAAAACAATGTAAACAAGATCATGACTAGTCTAATACATTTGTGTATGAAGTGTTAGAATAGTGGCCGCTACCCTCATCTACTTCTGACTAGTGGTTATGTCACGCCCCGGACGGCCGGACCTACCGGACACGTCAACAACCCACCGTACAGTACGAATTGTCAACCGCAGTCCAACTCATCCATATTATACTAGGCGTCTTGAATACCATTCACAATAGTACATTCATAAACAATCATAATGTAAAATATTCAATTAAGCAGCGGAAACATCAATACAAGTGTTCAAGCCACACGTGGCAAACATGGGCATTCAAGCCCCCAAATGATTATTCAGATAATAATATCCATGAGCATTAATTTAAATATTTTTAAGATAGAAACGGAGGAAGCACGAACCACGTCTTCTCTCCTTGAGCTTCCCGAAGCAACGGGCGTTGATAGCAAGCTTTATCCCCTACCTGAAACTGTGAGGTGGCCTCCCCCGTGAAGGGAAGGTCAGTACTTGGAAGCATTTAACAAGTAAAATGACAACTATACTAAGTATAATCAATGTTTCAATTTCCAAGACCCTCAAATAGAGTGATATTATATTATAGGTCATAACCCTTGGTTACCCTATTTGAAAATATACTTACTTTATATATAAAGTCAAGTAGTCGGCCCGAAGACCCATGTTTACTTTGAAAACGTTCAACCCTTTCCCCGTGACTTCAAGCCACGCCCATCCATATTAGTTCATCATGCTAGAGGCTTCCTCTAGTCACGTTTTGTCGTGCTAGAGGCTTACTCTAGTCACTCCACTTGGTGTTAGAGGCTTCCTCTAATCACCTTACATACGTTGTGCTAAAGGCTTCCTCTAGTCACATTTCGTTATGCTAGAGGCTTTCTCTAGTCATCCTACATTACGCTAGAGGCTTACTCTAGTCGTTCTACATTAATGCTAGAGGCTTCCTCTAGTCATTCTTTATCGTGATAGAGGCTTCCTCTGGTCACGATACTAATTTACTAAGCAAGTTCTATGCCTAGAGTTTCCCTATTATGAGTAGCCTTTGAGGCCTACTCCTAACATAACTTAACGTTTACACATTTCTACATTAAAGCATCTCATAAGACTACTTAAGGTACATCTTTCGCAATCCAAGCCCTTAGGATTTGTTCTATTACTTTTCTAACTAACATTTCCGACAAGTAATTCAATACTAGTCAGATAATCTTAGAACAACCAAGTTCCTAATCCATAGTCATAAGGTTTATTTCAATTGATTTTCCAATCCAAATATAATTTAATCTCAATATCAAAAATATCACTTTTATCCATTCATGATTTCTATACATGAAGTAAAAGTATATTTCATCACAAAAATTCATGGTTTATACAATCATCATACCATCATATTTATAATGCATAACCATACACCATTTACTCATAAATTTGTATATTATGCATCTTCTATTCATAAACAATAATATTTTCATTTAGGCATTATTAATCATTAATAATCCATGAAAATCACATTTAATTACCTTAGGTAATCTTGTGAAATTAACTCAAGGATTATAAGCAATATAGTCAGCCATCCTCGCCTTATGAAGTGCTGAAATAGTTGTCTTTGCCAAGCCCTTCGATCAATCCCCGTTCTAAACCGATTAGAAGCGGAAAATCTGGACAGCAGACGAAAGCGGGGCGGCTTTTGCAAAAGGTGGGCGGCTTTCGTGGTCTGCAGCTACGAACAGCTCCCTTTAAGTGGCGGTTTCCGGCGGTTTCAACTCCTATCGATTCCACGACTCTTCTAAGTTAAATACCACCACTTTATAACGTGTAGAACTTCATGTTTAACCCGCCATATGATTTCTTAAAAATCATACAAGACAAAACTAGTTAAAAGATAAGAGTTGTGTTCTTACCTCTTCTTCTAGCTATTTTTTCTTGGATCTTCCTCTCTTCTTGCTACCTTCAAGCTATGGACTATGTGAGAGAGTCTCCTGGAGCTCCTTCCTCCTTTGGTTTGTCCGAATAATGCAAGAGGATAGGGGAGAGGTATCACCTAGTCAATCAACCAAAATAATTTGGTGATGGGGTCATGAGGGTGTAGTTTTTGTCTCATGGAGACTTCCTCTCCCTTCATGTACGCACAAGCACCATGCATGGTCCTCCCTCCCTTATTATTTGAGTCAAATTAGTTCATAGAATACTCCAAGTGGGTGTAGGAAGTTCTTCCCAATTATTCCGTCTAACTTTTGGCAGGTTGGGCCAAAATAATACTCGGGTTTGTCCAAATATTTTTGTCAACATTGGTTGGCACTTTATTTAGCCCATTCCCATTCTTATGGACCCGATAAATAATTTAATTAATCACACATTAATTAAATACATCATTCTTTTACACGAAATCATTCGCTAGAAAAATTCAAATACATACTGAATTTCAACTTCAAGTACATCCGGGTGCGGTGTCACAGGTTAAACACTGGGGAGGTGTTTATTTCACTGTTAAAGTCATAGTTAGGTTAGTAAAACAGGTGAAGTAAACACGCAAACTAAACTGCTTTTTTTTACGGTACAAACTAAGCTGCTTACTAATCGAAAGAAATACTTAAAGTGCCGTTTACTAAGCATACCACCTACATGTTTTAATTACACGGCACTTTAAACTTTTTCAGTTTCCGAATTTACCCTTATTCCTTGCCCTGATCCTTATTGTTACCCCTCCATCCGATACCCCTTTTCCCACCCCCTACCCACCATACCTTACCCCACCCTCACCCACCTACCATCAACCTTACCCTGTCCTATGCCCGACCATTACCTTTACCCCACCCCCACCCACTTACCCTACCCCTTTACCACCTGCCCCTACCTCGACCCCACCCCGCCCCGACTAACCCATCTACTCCCACGGGTACCCTACCACTCGACCATACCCCGCCCCCGCCCCACTTGTACCCCCTCCCCCCCACCACCCCTTTAACCCCTATCACTTGCCCCTACCTTGACCGCACCCCCTTACCCCTGGCCTTTCCCACCCCGACCCTACCCCTTTACCCCATACCACCTGCCCCTACCTCGACCCCACCCCCTATATGTCACGCCCCAGACCGCAATCCAAGCGCGTGTACAACCGCCGTATAATCAAGTGACGTCACCCGCGAGTCAACCTCACTTAATTACACAAGGCGTTCGAGAATATAAACCATCCATACTCAGTAGTAAACA